TTTGTTTTCTGGAAAAAAAAATGTACTAGTTTCCTTTAGTTTTCCGAAAAGGTTTGTTACCCAAGAAGATCCCATATTTTCTTAAAAGTAGTATTTGGTTAACTGTTAGGTTACACTGTCCTAATTATGTTCAACTGAAATCCCAGGAAAATCCCATATTTTCCTAAATGCAAGACCAATTGAATATGACAGAGTATAGTTTAATACACGAAACTATATATTGAGAATCATGGGATTACTATCCCGAATTAGATATAAAATACTTTAATATACGTGAACTGTAGATGAAAAGTAGTTTGAAAACTGGGACTAACATCCCGTACTACATATAAGATAGTTTGATATACAAGAAAAATATAGATTGAAAACCATGGGACTACCATCCCGGACTAGACATAGATTCAAAACCATGGGATTATCATCCCGTACAAGATATAGTTTCAAAACCATGGGACTACCATCCCGTACAAGATATAGGTTGAAATCATGGGACTATTATCCCGTACTAGATATAAGATCAATAGACTGAAAACCATGGGACTATCATCCCGTACTAGATATGGAAACTATAGATAGAAAGTAGATATAGAATCGAAACAAAGTCAAAACCAAACCCAAAGCGATACCATGAATAAACTTATATTAATATGTATTGTGAGTCGGGTAACCATGCTGATACAACAAAGAGACCTCCTTGACGTTTGTCAGACGTCGAAACTCTACCCAAGAATTTGTCACCCCAGGCGTGCCCGCCTAACTGTAGCTAGCAGTTAAGGTGTGGGATTGTCAGTCCCGAGTAGATCTTTTCACAAATTCCTCGCTCTCCCTCCAGGAGACTCTGGTTACACTTCCGGGGAGGATTTACTGATAACCCAAAGGGTAATGACGAAACTCACAAGCTAGTACTAAATTATTCACAGGGTTCTCATACGATATCAAACATATAAAAGATTACGAAACATAATACATACAATGAAACTATCTGGCAATACATTCAAACGAAACGGAGATAAACTGAATCAGACATAGTTTATCTAATAACTTTATATATATATATATATATATATATATATATATATATATATATATATATATATGAGTACATGATTAAACAAGAACTAAAGAACCCCAAATTATTCCCATAATAATTTGATTACTTTGGTTATTTCCTTAACTGAAATTCATTTAGTTGTGGTTGATAAATCATCTCTTATGCTCAGCATAATACATAAGAGGTAAAGATATTTATAACTTTCCAGATATTTATTGAAATTCATCAATGTTATGTTTTGAAAACATTTGTAATTTGCTTGTATTCCCCCCCTGAAAACATTGAGAAACCATTTAAAAAGGGTAGGGGTATGAACTCACCAATCGCAGAATGTGTCGGTTTGGATGCTAAACGTCGTTTCTGTGTTGTGATACTTTACATGACGTCCTCCGACCCAGAACGTTTCCGCCGTTCTTGGTTTTGGGGTGTGACATTGTTACATTTCATTATCATTTGAATTATTTTTCTACTCGTTCATATTTTATAAATTATTTAGCCTACCCTAAAACAAAATTCTGACTACACCATTACATGAGATCAAAAACACCATAGAACTCTAGATCTAGATCATATAACCCCAAAGGGACCTTAAGGATCCATCAAGTTGCCAACTTTATGGAATCCATCCAATTAGATTCTCCTAAACATGGAGAAAATGCACAAAAATCCTAAAGCTAAAAGCATAGAATATAAAGCTTGGAACTTAAACACTCACAATGGCCTAGGGTAAGTGTTAGAAGATGATGATGAGACTTGCAAGCTGGATTTATGCACCAAGGATGTTTCATTCTCTTTCAAGATACCAAAACACCACCAAAAGCTCTAAAAACTCAACAATGGGGCTAGGGTTTCGTTTGGAAGGTTGGAGGCTAAAGATGATGCCCTAAACCTTGATTTCAGGGGCTTAAATATGGAAGAACCCCTAAAAGATCATGGGTTTGGGTTGCAGTTGTTGGCACGACGTGACCTTCCTCTTGCCACGTCGTAACAGCCATCCGAATACGCATTCATGCATTTTGCATGTCATGTTGTGGTGCTCCATCCATCACATCGTGACAAAAGGTTTTTCCTAAAAACCTTACATTTGATCCTTCTAAACTCTTAACCAATCTATTATGGAAAAAAGGGTATTACACAAACGTTTATTATTTACTAAAGCTTTTATATTTCATTTAATTAATGACCAATAGAAAGCGTTTTTACATTTCTTGACCAATTTTCCCTAAGTTTAATTTTTGTCTCAAGTTCACTTTATTTTATTTAATAATTCTAACATACTAAATCTTCCGATGTTAAGATGTTATAAGTTTTTCCAACAAATCAAGAAATATATTATGTTTTAAAAATATAGTTATAAAATAAAGTGTCACGTCATCAAAACAAAACAAATTTGGAAAAAATAATGATCAATTTGGAACAAAAAAAGTATCAAAATAGAAAGAAAAAAAAACGAAAACTTAATGTCAAAATTGAAAATATGAAAATTTATTGTTTTTTATAATATTTTTTTTCAATTTTGACATATCAGCATGTCATGCCAACATGTCACGTCAGCAAACAATCAGGTTGATCGCTTAAGTGGTCAGAATTGTAAAAAAATTGAAAATATAGTGTCTGGTTTGAAACAAAAAATAGCATAATGTCAAAATCGAATTTTCATGGAAACTTAGTGATTTTGTGGTATTTATCTTATTTCATATGTTATTGAACGAAATTCAATTTGTGTTATATGTTATATCTTAATGACTCAAAAGGCATAAAATCCAGTTTAAACATATATAAGTTAATATTCATCAAATGTGATGATCTCTTAAAGACTTCAACCCTTTTATAGTTGGTTATTGTTGTAATGATATAGATCTTTATAATCCTATTTAATATTTTAATTATGTACAAAAATAAAAACATTAACAAAAACGTTTTGCATCAGCTAACTCGACCTTACCAAAAAAAAAAAAAAAAAAAAGCTAACACTCACTATGTTAACCCCAGCCTAGCCGTCCCATTTGCCTCTCTGCTTTAGACCGGCTTTTCTACTTTTATAAAAATGTTAATTGATAAATAAATACTTTCATAAAGTTTCAAAATCCATTTGATGGGAATAGAAGGGTAGTCAAAAAAGATTAATGTTATTAAATATATGGTTTCCGAGATAAAGTGGTTGAGTGAGTCTTGGACTTTAAAGACTTGCACTTTGACCAAGCACAACAATTTGAATTTATTGAGCTTCAAAAGATTGGAAATTGGAAAGTGGTAATCCTAAAGTGAGAGTTCCATCAGCTAAAATTCGTTTCTTGTTTGACTAGATTTAGTGAGTTAATATAGTTGCTGAATTCCAAGTTTCTTGACTACAATGCTCCATAACATAGAAAAACTCAAGTTTTTTCGTTATATGATTTTATTTTAATTTTAAAATAATGTAGTTGTATGATCCATATCTAATATATATCGTTTATTACTATAGACCTATAAGGAAAATATATAAAAATCATTATGTTATATTTTTGTCTATTAAAATCATTTTATAGTCCACTTTACATAAATTAATGCTTTGTGACATGGGTGCAAACAAGTGGAGCCCGAGCTTGACTAGACTCGAACTCGGCTCGTTTCAAGCCTTATGGTCTAGCTCGAGATCGGCTCGTGAAGATTTTTAATGAAATATAGAGATCAACTTCTATGAGGTAATTGTAGAGATTTTAATGGACATTTGAATTAAATCCATTGCTATAAAATGATCACCGAGTCATTATTTTAGATAAGACCATATCATAAAATGATTTTAGTGGATAAAATATAAATAATAATTTTATTTCGAGAAAAGAACTTATTTGTCAATCTTGTTAGACTTAATGATAGATGCTTTTTTATTGTTACAATTTATTGAAAAATCAATTCTAAGTTGTTCCGTTTTGGAGTTCTTAATTTTAGGTATAAGTTATGATGTTCATGCATGAAAATTAGAATTCTTTTTATATAACTTTATAACTAAAATGTTTATATACTTCTTTAGATGCTATTAGGATCACAAAAAGTTATAAGTTAATCAAATTTACCCTCAATATCAACTTTTTATTCATTTCTCATAATCCTTTTCTTTTAACTCTAAAATTCAGACATGGAACACTTCATAGTTGCATTGCTTCATCATTCGGGAAAAAAACCGTGCAACTGTGTGTGCATACTTCATACGTGGGCTGTAGCCCAATAACATACATTATTATATTATATATAACTAACATTAACACCAACATTCTTTAATTTCTTCAACCTACATTCAAACATACCAAATTACGGAGTCCACTTTATTTCCAAGTATAATTAAATTATATTGAGAAATACATACAATTCAATTATATGTATACATTTCTCAACACCCTCCCTCAATCCTAAACTTGGAAAACATTTACAAGACACATCCTTTCACAAAGTAAACTACGCTAGTAAGCTCCACTTGATTCACACTCTCAACATGTATCACCTTTGACTAAACATATTTATATACATATTTAAAGGATAACACACGTTATGAACAATAATTTTTTTTTTTTGACACTTTTACCTCAAATGTTTTACCTGTTGGTATTTTTTCTCTAAGCTTTTGTTTTTGATTTTTTTAGCTCAATTCTATAGCTCCGCTTTTAAGTTTTAGGGTAAATTACACCGTTGGTCCCTCGTGCACATGCCAGAAAGCATGTTTAGCCCCTATTTCCAAAATTTAACTCGTGCAGTCCCTCGTTGTTATTTATCTTGCATGGTTAGTCCCTATGCACGTTAACTGTTAAATCATTCCGTTTAAGCTACCCACGTGCCTTGCACGCAGGGGCATTTTCGTCTTTTCAGGGTTTGTATACATGAACCAGTATGGCGCGACTTCGATAACCGATCATTTCTGATTTCATCCTCCGTCGACCCTTAGCATTGCACGAGAAAACCCTAGTTTTCTACGATGGTGAACTGGAGGATTAGGCAAGAATGGGAGGAATACGATCTCCAAAGCTCATACGGTAAAATTTTCTACATTTTCAGTTGATCATCCATTATACGTTCCTAAAACGTAATTTTTTTTTTGGTTCGCAGCTGACAATCCATGTATGTTCTCCTATGGAACCTTTTGGTGTGAACCTTTTGGTGGGACTCCTATGGAACAAGATGAACCAAATAGTGAAAAAGCAGGTGAATACAGTCAAGCTAGTAAAGACAGTCATGATAGTGATGACACTGAAGATAGTGAATACACTCAAGATAGCGATTACATAGTTGATGAAGATAATTTGTTAGATGATCCAGAGGTTGATATGAAGAACTTTCACCTCAACATTGACAAAGAGGTGGAGTGGGTTGGAAGTTTTCCTGATGATCGAGATGAAGCAGTAGAAGGTAATGAAGAATTAGAGGTTATAAACACTGAAGAATTTGTATCTGCATCTTCATTAGATGAGGGTGAAGCTAGTAAAAAAAGGAAGAAGATAAGAGATTTACAAAGAGCACATAAGAATGAAGCAGCTGCTGTCAAAGATCCATTTTACATCCACCAGACTTTTAGCACAGCCAAGGAAGTTAAACAATAAATTTATCTTCATTCCATACAGAGTAGAAGGGAGTTAGACTTCGTCAAGAATGACAAAAATAGGATTAGAGTCGTTTGCAAAGGGACAATACCAAACCTTGGGATATTAGAAACAGGTGGGACCAGCAAAAGTAATGACAAAGTGGGACCAAGTCAAAAGAAAAAGAAAGTGAAAGATGGTTCTATTCATAAATGCCCATGGGTCCTACTAGTGAGTAAGTGGAAAAAAGACATTAACTAGACTGTTAAGACCTATGAAAAGCAACATACGTGCCTTCAAACAAGGAAAATTAGGGCATGTAACTACAAGTTTCTCTCTGAACAGATTGTTGACATAGTGGAGGCAAACCCAGAAATACCACTTAGAGCATTACGTGAGATGCTTGAGAAGAAATACCAACTTGGATTGTCAGACATGAAAGTTCATAGGGCGAAAACGAAAGCCCTGGAATCAATTAGGGGAGATTTTGATGCTCAGTACTCATGTCTAAGAGACTACTTACAGGAGGTGCAGAGTAGAAATCCAAACACCACAGTCAAACTTCAAGTGCAAAGTGAACCATGTTATGCATCTGAGACCAGGGTATTTGAACGAGTATACATTTGTCTTGGTCCACTGAAAAGTGGATTTGCAGCAGGGAAAAGAGATTTACTAGGGCTTGATGGTGCATTCATGAAGGGTCCATACCATGGTATGATCCTGACAGCAGTGGTATGTGCATAATCATATTTTAGTATTTGATTAATGTTTGACCATAGTTAATTGTTTGCTTATTACTGTGTTTGACATGATAATTCAGGGTTTAGATGGGAACAATTGCACATACCCTTTGGCATATGCAGTTGTTGAAGCAGAGAACTTTAATTCATGGACCTGGTTTTTAACTAACTTAGGAGATGATCTTGGTTTGTATGCAAACTCCAACTTCACTTTCATATCAGATAGACAGAAGGTAAATAAAGTTCTCCATTCATTTTCACATGCATGTTTTACAATTCAATAAGCAACTTCACTCTTTTGATGATTTAGGGGTTATTGCCTGCACTTGAGAAACTTTTCCCAGCAGCAGAGCATAGATATTGCCTAAGGCATCTTCATGAGAACATGAAACGTAAATGGAGGGGCAAGGAATTCAAGGATTGTCTTTGGAAATGTGCAACATGTACCACCATACCACAATTCAACAGTGCCATGGAAGAACTAAAGAAACTTAACAGTGAAGCATATGACTGGCTTAATTCTATTCCACCTAAGCACTGGTCTAGATCCCACTTCTCAGGTATATAATATTATGTTTATAAGTGTATAATTTTTAAATATAATCTAATACAGTTGTGTTTTATTAGGGAGGGCACATTGTGATGCTTTGTTGAATAATATGTGTGAGAGTTTGAATAGCAAGATAGTGAAGGGTCGTGATAAGCCAATTATCAGTTGCTTGGAGTTTATTAGGGAGTATATCATGAGGAAAATTGTCATGGTTCAAAAAGAAATTGATAAAGCTAATGGCCCATTAACTCCTACAGCCACTAAGACCCTTGAAAAAATTAAAGAAAGGGCAGTACAGTGTAGGGCAGTGTTCTGTGGCAATGGGAAGTACCAGGTTACAAGTGAAGGTACTAATCAGTATGTGGTTAATATGGACCAACAAACTTGTTCATGTAATAGGTGGGAACTGACAGGCATACCCTGCAAACATAGTATAGCAGCTATATGGGATATGAGGCTCAACAATGAAAATGTTGGAATACCTGAGACATGGGTACACCCAACTTATTGGCTCAAGACATGGAAAGAAATGTATGTCTTCAAAGTTGAACCTATTAATGGGAGGTTATTGTGGGAAAAAAGCACATGTCCTACCAAGTTGATACCACCAAAGTATCGTGTCCCTATTGGCAGACCAAAAAAAAAAGAGAAGAAGATCTGCAACAGAAGATGATGGAGTGTCCACAAAATGGAAATCTGTAACATGCACAAAATGTGGAAATGTGGGCCATAATGGAAGGACCTGCAAGGGACAATCACAGACTGGGAATGGAACAGGAGAAGGTGCAGTAGGGAATACAACAGGAGAAGGTGCAGCAGGTAGCAGTGGTGGTGTACAAAATGGAGTTGGGAACAAAGGAAAAAGCCCCATGCTTTGAGAATTTGTAGTTTGGTATCATGATCATGCAGGATAACTATGTTTTTGTTAGGCATTTATTGCCATATTACTTTGTTGTTATGTTTTGTATTTTGATACTTTGTTGCTGTGTAGGATAACTATTTGTATGCCATAAGACTATGTTGTTATTTTGGATGTCCCTTTATGTTAATGGTCAATGGTTATCTTGGATATTTTAGAGTTTTTGTCCTTTTTAATTGTTATATTGGATGCTAGTATTGAATGGTATATTGCATATGTTGCAAATACCACATTTTCATTAAATTTGAACACCAACTGATAACACCACATTATGATTACACAATATATTGTAACTAAAATTGAAATTTTTTTGTTAATACAAATAACATTACAAAGAGTCTCCATTACAAAATACACATACCAAAATACTAACAACTTCATTACTTAACCTACACTTTATATATAAGGACTGAAACAAAAAAAAACCCAGCTAATAACTAGGTAAAGCTTCAATTTGCGATTTTGTTCTTCAAGTTTCATCCTAAACGCCATACAATCACAGTCCTGATCATAATCATTCACCCATCCTATGAACTTGCATAATGGTCCCTGAACCAATTAAAGTAGATGAAGAATTAGGGCAAAATTAGAGAAGACGAAGAACGAAATTGAAATCATTAACCTTACCTTTACTGTACAAGCATAATAGAGTTTCCCAGGGTTTCTTTTGCTATAAGATGTGCGAATCACTGCAGTGGCTCCCCAATTGCATTTAATATCGATCATTGTTATGTATTTGGAAGAAATCGATCGAACGAGGGGAAGATACGAACGAGAGGATACAGAGGAAAAGAGGGTTGCAGTGTTCTTTATAAGATTTAAGGTGTAACGGCATTAAATATGGACACAAACCCTGAAAAGACGAAAATGCCCCTGCGTGCAAGGCACGTGGGTAGCTTAAACGGAAGGATTTAACAGTTAACGTGCATAGGGACTAACCATGCAAGATAAATAACAACGAGGGACTGCACGAGTTAAATTTTGGAAATAGGGACTAAACATGCTTTCTGGCATATGCACGAGTGACCAACGGTGTAATTTACCCTAAGTTTTAAAGGATTCCCATTTTTATATTTTACATAAATGGTCCTTCAGTTTTGTTAAATTTGACTCTTTTGGTCCATTTTTGTTTTTTATATATATTAAAGATTTTTGTAGTGTTTCCTACGGGAGACTTGACTTATTTTATATAAATGGTGTTTAGGTTTTATTGAATTTGACACTTTAGGTCCATTTTTGTTTTTTCATATATCTTAAAGATTTTTTTTTTTAGGGAAATAGCTTAATTTACATGAATGGCATCTACATTTTTTTGAACTTGATACTTTTGGTCCAATTTTTGTTTTGAAAATAAAGGTTTGGGCGAAGCCCTACTAGTTAGGTAAAAATTATACAAAACTAAAAATCAAAGCATTATGGAGCGTTTCGTGAATAGGGTAAAAGCATCATGAGTTAATATTATTAACACTACATAAAACTAAAAACTTAACAAGCTTCCTAGCAAATTTTGAAACCCAAATATATTAAACAACGAATCTTTAAACAAATTAAAATGTCAACACGATATCAATTGAAACAATAATACTTGTTATGAAAAACCAATGTTCCAGCAGATCCGTTTCATGAGATTGATGTTAGTGACTTGAGAGGAAAATTTTAGAGGATAAAAATACAAGGTAAATTAATGTGTAAACTTTTAGTGGGCTGGTGAGTAAAATGCTATTACATAAATGGTTAGAATTTGAAAGTCTTACCGACTTAATAAGAAAGAAATTAAAATTGAAGTCTTAGTAAGAAAAAAGTTATAATACATTGTTATTAAATGGTAACCATAATAAAAAGATTGGATTTTCAAAATACAATGTTGTAATAGGAAAAAAAAAACTAAAAGTGCTTCTATTAAGTGTAAGCTAACACGTAAGTGAGGACATGGAAATAATTAAACGCGTCCCAACAACCCAAATGACATCGGCTTGTATGTGAATCGTAGGGAGCACACTTGGACTGTTCAAGCCGCCTTCGTATAAATTGAACCCTTTGTTGCCCTAAAATGACACATTTGGAAACTTGCTTACCCCAATCTTGTCTTTAACTTCACTGTGAAATAAGAAAAATGCCTTCGCGAGCATCTGCATAACATAACTAGTCTCCAAACTACCGTCATCACATGGCAGAGAATCATTTCAATGGTGTAACCAACAAAGACATTACCATCAATCTACTGCAAACCCAGCTGGATATGTCTCTCATACGGAAGGACTTACAAGACCAGTTGCGTGAGCTCCGACTGGGTGTTAATCGAGACTTGGATGCAATGAATCGTGAGGTCGATGATGTTTGTGTTGGTCAGCTAGATATCTTTAATATCCTTGCTGATTTTAAGAATCATTTCTTTTCTCTGCAAGGGTCGTATGTGAAGATGGTCGTGGAGCACAACAAACGTAAGAAAGTGAAGTATTTTGTCGGGTTATTGGTGTTTCTATTGTGGGTGTGTTCACCTACATGTTCTTCAAGTAACAAAAGAAGTGTATTTTGTGTTTTGATGTGTTATTTAAGTTGTTTATTGTCGATATTAGTAATAGATTGTGTCTAGTGGTTCTAGTAATAGTTTGTGGTGCTTGTGCATATAGTTGGTGGTGGTGGTTATTGGGGGTTGTGATGGTCATCCTTTTTTGATGAAGTATGTTTCAATGATCTTTGAAATAGGTTATGGAATAGAAAAAATGTTGTAAACAAACCCATGACTGAAATATTGGTTTATATATTATTAAAAATAAAATGTCTTGCACATGTGTATGTGTCTGTGCATGAACGAATGAATGAAACATTTGGGGATTATATATGTTTAGATAAGTTAGTCCCAGTCATGTGGATCATCATTGCTGGGATGGGACCACAAGCTAAAGCAAATTCAATCTATTTTTTAAGCAGATACATAGGAACAAATGCATTTTCTCTACTTATTCTTAGAAAATTGAAGTTTATGGTTTGTGAAATCGATGAAGAAATCAAAACTTCAAGAAATATCAATTAGAATTGTAAGAAATCGACAAATGCGGATCTCTCTCTCTCTCTCTCTCTCTCTCTCTCTCTCTCTCTCTCTCTCTCTCTCTCTCTCTCTCTCACTTGTCTTTCTCCCTCACCTCAAAAAACATTGAAACTCCACCTACAAATACATTTTCTCTACTTATTCTTAGAAAATTGAAGTTTATGGTTTGTGAAATCGACGAAGAAATCAAAACTTCAAGAAATATCAATTAGAACCGTAAGAAATCGACAAATGCGGATGTTTTTCCCTCTCCCAATCTCGATCTTGATTTTTCACTTTATCTTTCCAATTACTAATCACCACCCACCTTCTTGTTGTCTTTACCGGTGAAACAAATCGACGAAGAGGTAGGGTCGTAGGGATGGTCTGGATCTACCTTCATAAACTCGGATTTTGAGTCTATTTCTACCTCTTGTTGTCTTTACGGTTTTGATTTCAGGTTCTAATTTATGGTTTCGAGTTCACGTGGAGGATGACAACGATGATTTAGCTTGAGTTTAGGTTTCCTGGGTTTTTCATTTCAAGTTACGTTGATGTTTCGTTTGTGGCTTACAAAGGAAGAATACACATGTGAAGAGAAAGAGAAATCAGAGAAAGGAAAAAGAAGAAATAGAAAATGAAAGAAAGGAGAAAGAAGAAAGGGATCAAGTCAATGTTTTCTTTATGGGTTACAGGGGAATACATAGGGGAAGGGAAAGAGAAATCAAAGAAAGGTGCAAGTGATAAAGGGCATGAGGTAAACGACGATAGCGATGATGAGGTTAAAGACCATCTGTGAGGTTTTTTGAACTTAGGGACTAAACTTGATATTTTCGGAAACCATAGGGACCATTTTTGAAGTTTTGTCTTAAATTAAACATCTAGGTTGATAGAGTTGATGACCCAGGTACTAAACAACATCATGTAACTATGAAATTAAGGACCAAATTTGTAAAAAAATTTATTTTTGGACCTAAACCACCAACCTGTCGATAAGGACATGTTTTAAGTGTAGCAAGAAAGATCCGGACTCCACTCTATAGCTGTAAAGAGGAGGAAACGCTAGACCTGAAATTAAGCAGATCACATTTCAAAAAAGCATAACTTGTCAGAATCACACAAAACTTAGAAAGAAGAGTAAAACAAAAATATCTATTAAAGTGTTTAAACATATGTTCCAGTAACATAAAATTGCCACCAGAAAGAATAAGATGAATTACCTTGAGTGGAATAGGAGGGTGAACTATGCAGGCATCAACAGGGGCCTTTTTGACCTTTGACTGACTTTGAATGGAAAGATCTCGGGCAGGGTCTTGAGATGTCTATACGACAGGGTGATACTAGAAACCCCAATCAGAATAAAGAGAATTTTAAGAAATAAAAAAAAAAAACTTATCCATACATAAAGAGGAAATTACAACATCTGAAATCCAATTGTTCTAATTCATCTCTATCATCTTTTTACAGCGTTTTACTTTCAAAAATCTACCCAGTTTCAACAATGTCATACAAATACAAAGCGATTTGTTACTGCAAAAAATATCAGTAACAAATCATAATTAAAATATAATGAAGTAAGTAAGTCACCGGATAGCTAACCTTTGACAAACAAATTTGTCACATCATCCAATCCAGGTCCAGGTTTACTATCTCAACTACTATTATAGATAGATGATGAATTTGAATACAGGGCATTATTGTCTTTTTACTTTACTTGGAACAAGGATCAAAAACATTACAAGCCTCAAAACGAGGACCAAAACCAGCTACACTCAGAGATCAAAATTGTAGATAAATCATTCATATAATATTGTTACAGAATCATTGATATTCGATGATGAAAATTATCTATCAAGTACTAATAGTAAAACAAAACTATCTATATTATATGATCCAGTAACAAAAATTGTCACCAGAAATCCATACTTTCTTAACATATGATTATAGATGAAGTAATCTTCACCCTACATGAAAATTGCCATAAAAAAACTCATTTTTAAACAAAAAAAAGTATTCCGCTGGTATTAATTTGTATTTGGTTGCTATAATTTGGTAAACTTCTGTTTGAGTTTAGGGTTTGTTGAAGAGGGAATGGAGCGAATGAAAAGATGAGGGTAAAATAGTCATTTTCCATTGGCTTAACGGATCCATAACTTTTGACATGCCACATAAACTTTACTCCTATTATTAAAGTTGGGGGTTGCTTCTAAGCATGAAAATTTTGAAGAACTTAAGTAATTTATAAATCATGGAAATGCCTTCCTTTTGTAAACATGAAAATTGTTAATTAAAAAAACAAATATTCAGAGAAACTGACCTGTTTTGGGGTGTATGCAAAATGGTACCTTCAGTAAAACGTTTCCTTTGTTTGAAAACCTGAGATAATGACTTTCAATGAGTAAAATAATAATAATAACAAAACATCATGAAGTAGTGATATTGTAAAAAAATCAATTGACCTCCATATCAAGCCTAGGATAAGTGATAGAAAAGACAATCTCCTCAACACACCTACGAATCCCAGTTGCCTAACATGTAAAAGAAAAACTACATTTTACTACATATATTTTTTATTAGATTAAATCTAAAATTAATAAAATGTGTAATTTATACCTTTTGTTTACCAGCTGTTTTAATTGTTCCCATCTCACAACATTAACATCTTTGCCATTTTCCTCTAAGCTCTGAGGTTATTGCTGCAAGAAAGATAAATAAATTTTAATTCTTATAAACATTTCTGTGCTAATTTCATTATATATATAATCCAGATTGCAATACATTCATCAGGAAAAAGGATGAATTGCAGAACCCACAAGAGAAACCTTTGATTTACTATATTGTTGTTACCCTGAACACTAACAAAAAAGATTATTAAGAATCTTATCTAACACTAAAAAAAGTTTAGATATGAATAGCTAAATGTTTAAATCCAACCTTGTAGACGCAAAAATAGTCAGCAATAGCTCCCCTTTGTTCATTATTCAACCTGATATAATAATCAAGATTGGTTATATAAAGTTATGGAAAACATTAAAAACTTATATTGTAAAAGCTTTACAGTTTTATTAACTTCTTGCTTTTCCATCACAAACCCAACAATGAACACCACTGTATACCCACAGTATATGATTGAAACCAAAATCATCTGAACAAATTAGAAAATGGATTCAGTTAACGTAGTAAAATGATACTAAAGGAACTACACAGAGAAGCATCAATGACTTTAAGAGAAATGGTCATGATTGACTACTTGTCCAAAGTAACAAATTAATAATCAGTGAATCAAATGTTTCAGTTCTTGATCAAGCTCCTAGATTACTTCTAGATCTTGCTGAAACTAAAAGCAATGATATAGCAAATTTGAATATTTTGTCATCATAAAAACTTAAACAACTCTTCAAAATTTTGAAGAAACAATTGATGTGATGTAATAGCAGAAGAATCTTCGGATGATGATGTTTATATACCTATTACAGAAGAAGAAGAAGAAGAAGAAGAAGAAGAATTAATTCTCACTGATGAAGAGCCTAACTTGAGGAGTAATAGAAATGAAGCACAATTCAATAATCATCATCCTGGAGAATCCTGTTTTCAAGGATCAAAAAAGAGAGACCTAAAACTAGAAAAAACCCAATTTTAAAGTTAGGGCGTATTCTTTAGCTGGAAGCCGTAGCTTATACTTGTATACAAGTGTTCACCAAAAGCAGTTGGAACCAATCCATTTAAAACATGTAAAATTACATAAAAGGACATCTTTGTAGAATACAAAATAGAAACATGATTTAAAAAAAAAGGTAATTAAGTTCATTTGCAAAAATATAAAAGTGCTTTTGGTTAAACTCTACTTGATGTAAGCTTTTTTTTTTTTTTGCGGTTTTTTCTTAAAATCTAAAAGTACAATCTGATATAGCAGTTTCAACATCAGAGATGAGTATTTCAAATTTCTCTAGCTTCTGATGAATTCTACCATATGTATGAACACTTTGTGTTTTATTAATTTTGGTCAACTATTTGAAACAGGTTCAATAAGTTATAATTTCCAGGTTTAATGTTAGAACATTTTAAAATATGAGAAATGGTTAAATTTTCAAAGTAGGGCGCCTTTATAAGAAGAAAACAAATTGAAATTGTAAAGCTTTAATGTCTGAACAGATATGATTATTTAAGTGTTTTGTCATGCTGTTGAGTCTACAACAGTATGATATTTGCAGATTAAATGGGTAGGAGACAGATATGTTTTTTTTTTGGGTTATAAAGCCTTTGTATTTATTGTACATTTTTGGATAGATCATGCAGGTTGTAACATAGAAGTATTTATGATATATAGAAAACATAGGAAAGACCACATACTTGACATGTAAATTAACTTTGATAATGTAAAAAAATTACCTAAATGTTTCATGTAATTTATGTTCTTCCATTGAAAGTTTCTACAACCAAAAAAATATGACATATCAAAACAATTAAAAAAAAAAAAAAAAAAAAAAAAGGAAGAAGATAAATTTACTATTGCATATCTATAAACAGAGGAGCATCATCATCATCTAATTGAGCAGGTTTGAAGAGTCAAAGCCTCTAAACATATAGTGAAAAAGGTTTCACATAAGTTCAAAATGTAAGTAACATAAGATATGATGTTGATACATGGAAATCGAAAAAAGGATCTTTACCTTCACTGGATTCTATTTTTGACCTTCTGTTCAATTAAAATTAAACCAATTCCTTCAATAACATTTATGTTATATCCGCCTCTTCTTAAAATATTCAGACATCAAAATTTCCCTAGTTAGCTATCACAATTACACATAATTAGTCTATAGTTGCTGATTGTAATCCAATTCATTAATTGTTTAGTACAGAAATTTTGTATTTACATTCTCACATGATGAGAGTAATGGACCATTTTACCCTTAAGGAAACAACCCATTATTTCAGTTAATAGGCATGAAGAATATGATTATGATATGTAGAGAATGAGTAAAGACGCACCACCTTACATAATTTCTCACTTTCAAACCGAATCATTTCGTTAAGCCAACTGATCGGTGTGCCTGAGCTTAACAACCACATCAGCTCTACATGAGTACGCATATGAGATTGAACAAATACAGAATCCTGTGTAGACACACATTTTAAATTTAGTTTACAACATTAAATTATTATTATTATTATCATAAATAATATTAAAGGAAGCAACAAAAAATAGACCTTTGAGACTTGCCAAATAAAGTGCTACGATTTATTTAGTTGCATTACACAGTTGTTGGACATCATAAGATAGAGTTATCTGTGTTATTGTTACAAAAAACAGATGAAAAGCACAAAGTAAGTGATGAATATATAAATTATGATTAGTATGCATATAAATCAGATGTGTCAAAATGCTTGGTGCCATGAAGATCCACAATAAAGAATAATGTCTCATACTTATCCTGAAAGAAAAAAAAAAGTTATAAAACATTTATAAATTAACGAAACTGGTACCTGTAGTGATATCCAGTTTTTTGTTGCACTAAGATAATTCCCAAGGTGTATATCGATGCTGCTGGCTGGATAACAGACACGATTCGCTTTCTGTAAAATACATTTTCTGGTTCATAGATTTACTCTTAAGGACATTTGGAAAGAAAATGTAAAATAGCAATTCCTTATAGAGGTGGAGGAAATCCCTTTTTAATATATATATATATATATATATATATATATATATATATATATATATATATAAATTAGTTACCAAACGCAAACAAAATTTAGAACTTAAAAGTATAATGTCTTAAAATGTTAGATATTGACTGTATATATATAACAGAAAATATAATGCTAAATTTGCTAAGATTTTGAAAATACAATGTCTTAATAAAAAAAATTGAGAATATAATGTTATTATAGTTTATATTTTCAAAATATAAAACATTTGAAGTATAGTAGAAAGTATGACATTGTAATTGAAGGTATGTGGAGGAAAAAGTAACTCTAACCTGGTCTTTTATTGACCTTGTCAATAGGAATAAGTGACTTAGTTGCCACCTAGTTAGGAGCCCACGTTTTACAGTTTGCTAGCTTAGCAGTTTTTCCCTTTTGCTTATTATTTAAAGCCTTGTAAGTCTCTTGTTTTGATATCAGAAATTGAATAAGAAGAAAAGCTGGAATCTTTCCCTGCAACTCTGTTTTTTTTCCTTATTTGGGCATACTCTTTTGATCAGTAACAGGGGCCTGCACCAACACTTGGTATCAGAGCTTTCCAGTTTATGCCCAAATACATAAGGTACGACAACATGACAGGTTCCAGTCAACAGGTACCAAAAGATAACGGTAGGGTGTCGTTCCAATGTCCATTGTTGACTTCAACAAACTATACAATGTGGGCAATCAAGATGGAGGCTATCATGGATGCTCAAGGTGTTTGGGAATCCAAAGAACCAACAGTCGGGGTGACTGTTGACGAGAAGAAGAACAAGATGGCACGAGCCTACATCTTCCAAGCAATACCGGAGGACATTCTCATGCAGGTAGCAAAGAAGAAAACCGCAAAAGAGGTGTGGGAGTCGTTGAAAATCCGTTACCTGGGGGCAGATAGAGTGCAAAAGGCGAGGTTACACTCACTCAAGAGTGAGTTTGATGCACTGAGGATGAAAGAAGGAGAGTCAATAGATGAGTTTGCAGGAAAGTTGAGTGGCATTAACTCAAAATACATTAGCCTCGGTGCAACAATAGAAGACAGCACTTTGGTGAGGAAGTTGCTTGATTCTGTCCCAGAAAAGTATCTACAACTTGTAGGCTCCATTGAACAATATTCAGATTTGGATACCATGCCATTTGAAGAAGCTATAGGAAGACTCAAAGCTTATGAGGATCGGTTGAGAAGTCGTATCGAAACCACTAATGCTGAAGCTGGCCTGCTGCTCACCCGATTAGAGGGGCAAATGGGTCAAAAGTCAAACAAAACCTCCACCAACTCAGCAGGAAGAGGCCGTGGCTCATCTCACAGTCGAGGAAGCCATCGTGGGGGAAGAGGAGGCTCAAGGGGTAGAGCTGGTTGGGGTAATCACCAACAATCTCGAGACAATGATCAAGGAAAGGGAAGAGATAAGAGTCACATAAAGTGTTTCAACTGTGATGTGTTTGGGCACTATGCATCAGAATGCCCTAATCCTAAGAGGAAGGAGGCTGATGTCAATCTCACACAGGTACATGAAGAAGTACACGCTCTTTTATTAACTGTTTCGGGTGAAGATACAGATAACTGGGTATTGCTTAATGAAGACAAAGTGTTCCCAACAACAAAAGAAAATGAGAAGGATACATGGTACTTGGATAATGGGGCCAGTAACCACATGACAGGGGTACGTGAGTACTTTGCAGAACTTGATGAAAGAGTAACGGGGCAGGTGCGTTTTGGGGACGGGTCCAAAGTTCAGATCAGAGGAAGGGGTACAATTCTCTTGGAATGCAAAAATGGAGAGCAACAAGTCATCTCTGAGGTATATTACATCCCAGCTTTACAAAGTAATATACTTAGCCTAGGACAGATGACAGAAGTGGGATACAAGATCGAGATGCTTCAGGAATTCTTAAGGGTTCATGATGCTAGCAACAGGTTGATAATGAAGATACAATAGGTTTGTACAAGATTGTCTTGCATACAACACAACCTGTATGTCTTAGTGCGAGCTTAGATGATACGACATGGCTGTGGCACGCAAGATTGGGTCGCGTAAACTTCCGTGTGATCAAGTCTATGGTGGAAAAGGACATGGTGCAGGGAGTGCCAAGAATTCACCATCCCACACAGATTTGTGAGGGATGTTTAGTTGCCAAACAGACCCGATGACCGTTCCCGAAAGAAGCAGAGTGGCGTGCAAGCTCTCCACTTGAATTGATTCATGCAGATTTGTGCGGTCCTATAACTCCCCAAACACTAGCTGGCAATCGATACTTTCTCCTCATTGTGGATGACTACAGCAGGTACATGTGGGTGTCGATGCTTAAAGCCAAAAGTGAAACTCTCACCGCCTTCAAGAGGTTCAAGAATCGAGTAGAAGGGGAAGGGAAATACAAGCTAAAGATGTTGCGCACTGATCATGGTGGTGAATTCACATCAAATGAATTCAATGAGTTCTGCAATCAGGAAGGAATCAAGAGGCAACTAACCGCACCCTACTCCCCTCAACAAAATGGGGTTGTAGAACGCAGGAATCGCACAATCCTTGAGGTCACCAGGTCTTTGTTGAAAGCAATGGACGTCCCAGAAACACTTTGGGGGGAAGCCGTTCGCCACGTTGTGCAGATTCTAAATCGAGTCCCGACAAGAGGAGTGAAAGATATGACCCCATATGAAGGCATACATGGGAAGAAACCCACACTTGAACACTTTAAAGTGTTTGGCTGTGTCGCTCACGCAAGGGTGCCATCAAACAAGCTCACAAAATTGAGCCATAGGAGTGAGAAACTGGTGTATTTGGGAAATGAGGAAGGAAGCAAGGCATTCCGTTTATATTGCCCTGAAAGAAACAAAATATGTGTACCAAGAGACATCGTATTCGAAGAAAAGAGAAAGTGGGATCAGGCTAAGGTCCAAGAAGAAGGCCCAATTTTAAGCAACAATTGGGTTAAATTTCCCAGTGAAGGAGTAGCCCAAGAGAACATGGGAGAATTCGATCCAACCCAAGTTGAGTTTGGAAGCCCTAATCCACAGTCAAACGAAAGTTATTCACAATCGACATGACATGGTCAATTACAAGCTGGAAACGAATCACCAAGCTCAATTGTGGATACCTTATCTCCATCAATGGACGAAGTTCCCAGGGAAACATACGACGACACGCCAATTCGTGGCTTTCGATCCCTGACCGATATATATGAAGAAACGCAAGCCCTGCAAGAAGAGTCAGAAGTCTTGATGTATGCAGGTGAAGAACCCACCACGTATGAAGAAGCTTCAGGTGACAAAGAATGGAGAACCACAATGAAACAGGAGCTGGAATCTGTTGAAAAGAACGAAACTTGGAAACTTACTCACCTCCCCAAAGGGCACAAGGCAATAGGGCTGAAGTGGGTGTTTAAATTGAAGAAGGATGCGGAAGGGAAAGTAACCAAATACAAGGCAAGAATCGTAGCAAAGGGATATGTACAGCAAAAAGGTGTCGATTTCGAGGAAGCTTTCGCTCCTGTGGCACGTTTGGAAACAATACGGACCTTGTTGGCTTTGGCTGCAAGTGAAGGATGGAAGGTTCATCATTTGGATGTAAAATCAGCTTTCCAAAATGGGATTCTGCAAGAAGAAGTATATGTTACACAACCAACCGGTTTTGTTATCGCAGGAAAGGAGAACATGGTGTACAGGTTGAACAAGGCTCTTTATGGCCTACGTCAGGCTCCAAGGGCATGGAACGATAGGCTTGATAAAACATTGAAAGAAATGGGATTCCAGAGATGTCCACAGGAATATGCTGTGTACAAACTCCAAAAGGCAAACAGGTCATTGATTGTCGGGGTCTATGCGGACGACCTGATTGTGACAGGTTCAAGTGAAGAATTAGTTGTTGAGTTTAAAAGAAGGATGTTGAAGTTTTTTGATATGAGTGACTTGAGAACCTTATCCTACTACCTAGGGATAGAAGTTCACCAAGACAAGGATGGCATCACAATCGGTCAAACAGAGTATGCTAAGAAGATTTTGCAAATAGCAAGCATGGAAGAGTGCAACCCATCTCAATATCCAATGGAACCCAGACTGGGCTTGACAAAAGACGAAGATGGAATACCAGTCAATGCCACCGAGTATCGACGCCTCATCGGAAGTCTTCGCTATCTCATCCACTCAAGACCCGATTTGAGCTACTCATTTGGAGTAGCAAGTGGATACATGGAATCACCAAAGCAGAGCCACCTCAAAGCAGTCAAACACATTTTGAGGTACATAAAGGGGACAGCCACGTTTGGTCTAATGTACAAGAAAGGTGGTGATAAAAGGCTTATTGGATTCAGTGATAGCAGTCATGTAATGGATATAGATGGTAGAAAGGGTACAACAGGAATGATTTTCTATCTATCTGGTAATCCAATCACATGGTCGTCCCAGAAACAACACACTGTGGCCCTATCTTCCTCTGAAGCAGAGTTTATGGCCATGCCAAGCACTTTGGCTAAGGAGTCTCCTCAAAGAATTGACTGGTTGGAAGGAAGAATGTGTCAGGATGTATGTAGACAACAAGTCTGCCATAGCTCTTATGCAGAGTCCTGTTTTCCATGGGAGAAGTAAGCACATTGACACCAAGTTCCATTTTCATACGGGGTTGTATTGAAAGGAAGCAAATTGATGTCAAACACATAAGTGGTGAAGAACAAATAGCAGATCCCTTGACAAAATCTTTTGGGAGTCGTAAGACTTGAGGACAAAGTTTAGAATTAAGGGGAAGTATGTGGAGGAAAAAGTAATTTGGACCTGGTCTTTTATTGACCTTGTCAATAGGAATAAGTGACTTAGTTGCCACCTAGTTAGGAGCCCACGTTTTACAGTTTGCTAGCTTAGCAGTTTTTCCCTTTTGCTTATTATTTAAAGCCTTGTAAGTCTCTTGTTTTGTTATCAGAAATTGAATAAGAAGAAAAGCTGGAATCTTTCCCTGCAACTCTTTTTTTTTTCCTTATTTGGGCATACTCTTTTGATCAGTAACAGGGGCCTGCACCAACAAGGTATAATGCTATAAATGGTTAGATAATCAAACAGCAATGTTTTGTATAGTAAAATGCAATACTTGGTTTTGGTAAGGCTTTTAAAATGCAATGTCTTTATAGGAAATGAAATTTACAGGAAAAAATAATATGATATACACTCTAACCAATATAAAACAAGTTTAGATTTTCAAATTACAATGTCTTTTCAGGTTACAAGTTTAAAACGCTAAGACAGAAAACAAAATAAAAAAAGTATAATGTTTTAATTGAGTAGATTTTGATAATATAGTGTTATACTTGGTTAAATTCTCAAACTCAACATCTTAATCGAACTGCAGTTGCTTAATACAAAAAAACTACTGAAAGCATAATGTTTCAATAGTTGACAACCAAAATCAAAAAAGTTCATATTTTCAAAGTACAGTGTCTCAATAGGTTAGATTCTCAAGGTGAAACTCTTAAAATGAAAATAATCAAAAGTGCATCTTAATAGGTTAGATTTTTAGAGTATGTAAGATTGGTTCAATGCCCTAATAGGGAAAAAGTTAGTAGGTTTCAATGTATTAATAGTTTTAACTTTTGAAATGATGCTTTAACAGGTTGAATTTCAAAGTATATTTTCCATGGCTTTTTCATTAATACCCTATCAGACATTTTGCATGTATATTAACTAATCAGCAAAGTTCTTTTTTGAAATATATATATATATATATATATATATATATATATATATATATATATATATATATATATATATATATACATTTCAAAGTTTGGTTTGGTACCTTAGAGATTTAATTGTAAATGGTCATTTGGCTTTTTTTTCCAGATTGCTAGACTGCTCCAGTTATCCTATCAGACAGCCAGAAAATCAGATGTGTTACATGATAAAAAAAAAAAAAAAAAAAAAAAAAACATAACTAATATTAGTATGGCAACTCTTGACTTTGACTTTGAGACTTACCTGAATGGCTTAAAGATCTTAGGATGTAAAATTGCAATTGTGTCCCATTGAAATCAGTCTCAATCTGAGTCTAAGGATTATACATACATTTGCACTTGCACTTCATCTTTGTAGTAAGTAGCCTTGGAAAAATCTACCCAATTATAGCAATGCCCTTTTAAGAAAAAAGTTGAAACTACAAAGTTAGGTAAATATTTTAGAGTGTAATAATGTCCTAACAAGAAAAAAAAAAAAAATCAAAATACGATGCTTTAAATGGGTTAAAACATTCAAAGTGTAATGTCACAAAAAGATATAAAAATTGCAAGTATAATTGCATAAACTTTTCAAAGCATAATGTCCTAATATGAAAAAGATGAAAGTACAATGCTATAATTGGGTAGACATTAAAACGTAAAATGTACTAATAAGAATATGCTATAAATAGGTAAATTTTTTAAAGTACAATGTCTTATTCTTAATAAGAAAAAGTTGAAAGTACAAGACCATAACAAAAAGAAATGGAACACTTCTTTGATTACTTCAACCTACAATCAAACATACCAAATTACGTAGTCCACTTTATTTCCAAATATATTAAACAACAAATCTTTAAATAAATTAAAATGTCAATAACATCTGACCAATTCATAAAACACGAAATCAATTGAAACAATAATACTTGTTATGAAAAACCAATGTCCCAGCAGACCCATTTCATGAGCCTGATGCTACTGTGGGATGACTTGAAAGTCTAACGACTTAATAAGAAAGAGATTAAAATTACAGTATTAGTAAGAAAAAAGTTATAATATAAGTATTGCTATTAAATGGTAACCATAATCTAAAAGATTGGATTTTCAATCTCCCGCAAAAAGGTTGAAGTTTAGGGATTAATAAACAAGTAGACAGTATTTATTACGTCTAGATTCGTTTTTTTATTAAAATATCAGTAATAATACTAAAATATTTTTTTATCAGGGATTAGGGTATAATTATGCCCCTTAAACATATATGACAGAGAATTTTGAAAAAGATTCTATTTATAAGGATTTAGGAGAAATTTCCTTGAAAATGGAAATGAAAGAGATGACAGAATGGACATTGTTATAAATTTAACATCTGGGTTGATAGAGTTGATGACCCAGGTACTAAACAGCATCATCATGTAACTATGAAATTAAGGACCAAATTTGCAAAAAGATTTATTTTTGGACCTAAACCACCAACCTGTCGATAAGGACATGTTTTAAGTGTAGCAAGAAAGTTCCTATAGCTGTAAAGAGGAGGGGGGAATGCTAGACCTGAAATTAAGCAGATCACATTTCAAAAATCATAATTAAAATATAATGAAGTAAGTAAGTCACCGGATAACTAACCTTTGACAAACAAATTTGTCACATCATCCAATCCAGGTCCAGGTTTACTATCTCAATTACTATTATAGATAGATGGTGAATTTGAATACAGGGCATTATTGTCTTTTTACTTTACTTGGAACAAGGATCAAAAACATTACAAGCCTCAAAACAAGGACCAAGATCAGCCACACTCAGAGATCAAAATTGTAGATAAATCATTGAAATAATATTGTTACAGAATCATTGATCTTCGATAATGAAAATTATCTATCAAGTACTAATACTAAAACAAAACTATCTATTATATGATCCAGTAACAAAATTTGTCACCAGAAATCCACACTTTCTTAACATATGATTATAGATGAAGTAATCTTCACCCTACATGAAAATTGCCATAAAAAAACTCATTTTTAAACAAAAAAAAGTATTTCGCTGGTATTAAATTTGTATTTGGTTGCTATAATTTGGTAAACTTCTGTTTGAGTTTAGGGTTTGTTGAAGAGGGAATGGACCGAATGAAAAGATGAGAGTAAAATAGTCATTTTCCATTGGCTTAACGGATCCATAACTTTTGACATGCCACACACATAAACTTTACTCCTGTTATTAAAGTTGGGGGTTGCTTGCTTGTATGCATTAAAGTTGTGAAAACTCAAGAACTTAAGTAATATATATATATATATATATATATATATATATATATATATGTATATATATATATATCATGGAAATACCACAACATTTACTTTTGGAAACATGAAAATTGTTAATTAAAAAAACAAATATTCAGAGAAACTGACCTGTTTTGGGGTGTATGCAAAATGGTACCTTCAGTAAAACGTTTCCTTTGTTTGAAAACCTGAGATAATGACTTTCAATGAGTAAAATAATAATAATAACAAAACATCATGAAGTAGTGATATTGTAAAAAAATCAATTGACCTCCATATCAAGCCTAGGATAAGTGAAAGAAAAGACAATCTCCTCAACACACCTACGAATCCCAGTTGCCTAACATGTAAAAGAAAAACTACATTTTACTACATAGTTTTCTTTATTAGATTAAAATTAAACTTAATAAATTTGTGTAATATATACCTTTTGTTTACCAGCTGTTTTAATTGTTCCCATGTCACAACATTAACATCTTTTCCACTAGAAGAGCGTCTACTGTCTTGTCATTTTCCTCTAAGCTCTGAGTTATTGCTGCAAGAAAGATAAATAAATTTTATTTCTTAATTTCATTATTTAATCCAGATTGTAATATTAATATTGCATACATTCATCAGGAATCATTTCCAGTATTTTCTCATATCTTTCATCTGAAAATAACTGCTGGCTACAAAGTAATTTCCTCTCAAAACATCAGAATATGATCTCCTGCAGATATTAATACAAGGGTAAGGGAAATTTAACTTAAATAATTGATATTTATAAAAGATTTTCATACTTACACAAGAAAAGGATGAAGTGCAGAACCCACAAGAGTAACCTTTGATTTACTATTGTTGTTACCCTGAACAATAACAAAAAAGATTATTAAGAATCTTATCTGACAAAAAAAAAAAAAGTTACATATGAATAACTAAATGTTTAAATCCAACCTTGTAGACAAAAAAAAAATAGTCAGCAATAGCTCCTCTTTGTTCATTATTCAACCTGATAAGCAAGTTCAAGATTGGTTATATAAAGTTATGGAAAACATTAAACTTATATTGTAAAAGCTTTAAACAATGAACACCACTGTATACCCACAGTATATGATTGAAACCAAAATCATCTGAACTAATTAGAAAATGGATTCAGTTAATAAAGTAAAATGATACTAAAGGAACTACACAGAATCATATATATCCTGGAAAACACAATTACAAACACAATCAAATGCTTCAACTTTAGAGTATTTTACAACTCAAATGTAAATGTATAAACAAGTAAGCAACACAATTACAAACTTACTATATCAAACACTAACTCTGTTTCCACAGGGGTGAAAATGTAGTCCCCAGATTGTGCGTATGCAAGCCTCTTTGAAGGCTGTTGAAACATAAATCATTAAGCAAACATCACATGCAGGATGTTTCCCGTGTGCATATTTCTAAAACAAACCATCAAATTAATTTTCAATTGAAAAACATGAAAGAATAGAATCTAATTTGGTATCTACTAAAAGTTCTTTTCATAGATTACCATTTCCGTATGACAGCCATTTGAACATATCTATCTGCATGAGGGAAATCAAGTGTCAAAAACTGAACCTGACAACATTGAAGTTTATGATAAATAAAACATATATTCATATCCTAGTTATAATGTAGGAAATGAAAAAGTAGGTTCATCAAGGAATCCTAGTTCCCAAAGACTATTTTCAAGTCAACATGATTGACTACTTGTCCAAAGTAGAAAATTTCTTTTGGTGACAAACTAAAGGCAATGATATAGCAAATTTGGATATTTTGTCATCATAAAAACTTAAACAACTCTTCAAAATTTTGAAGAAACAATTGATGTAATATAATAGCAGAAGAATCTTCGGATGACGATGTTTATATACCTATTACAGAAGAAGAAGAAGAAGAATTAATTCTCACTGATGATGAGCCTAACTTGAAGAGTAATAGAAATGAAGCACAATTCAATAATCATCATCCTGGAGAATCCTGTTTTCAAGGATCAAATAAGAGAGACCTAAAACTAGAAAAAAAAAAACCCAATTTTAAAGTAAGGGCGTGTTCTTTAGCTGGAAGCCGTAGCTTGTATTTGTATACAAGTGTTCACCAAAAGCAGTTGGAAAAATATAAAAGGACATATTTGTAAAATATAAAATAGAAACATGATTTTTTTTTTAAAAAAAGGTAACCAAGTTCATTTGCAAAAATATAAAAGTGCTTTTGGTTAAACTCTACTTGATGTAACTTTTGGATTTGGAGCTAAAAGCTAGAAGCTCCTCTACTGCTATCTAAGCTTTTTTTTTTTTTTTGAGGTTTTTTCTTAAAATCTAAAAGTACAATATGATATAGCAGTTTCAACATCAGAGATGAGTAATTCCAATTTCTCTAGCTTCTGATGACTTCTACCATATGTATGAACACTTTGTGTTTTATTAATTTTGGTCAACTATTTGAAACAGGTTCAATAAGTTATAATTTCCAGGTTTAATGTTAGAAATGGTTAAATTTTCAAAGTAGGGTGCCTTTATAAGAAGAAAACAAATTGAAATTGTAATGCTTTAATGTGTGAACAGATATGATATGATTATTTTTGGCATCTGATGGTTCTTATGAATATGATGGGTTGTTAGTTAACTGTAGATCTGTTTAAGTGTTTTGTCATGCTGTTGAGTCTACAACAGTATGATATGTGCAGATTAAATGGGTAGGAGATAGATATGTTTTTTTTGGGTTATAAAGCCTTTGTATTTATTGTACATTTTTGGATAGATCATGCAGGTTGTAACATAGAAGTATTTATGATATATAGAAAACATAGGAAAGACCACATAGTTGACATGTAAATTAACTTTGATAATGTAAAAAATTACCTAATGGTTTCATGTAATTTATGTTCTTCCATTGAAAGTTTCTGCAACCAAAAAAATATGACATATCAAAACAATTAAAAAAAATAAGAAAGAAGATAAATTTACTATTGCATATCTATAAACAGAGGAGCATCATCATCATCTAATTGAGCAGGTTTGAAGAGTCAAAGCCTCTAAACATATAGTCAAAAAGGTTTCACATAAGTTCAAAATGTAAGTAACATAAGATATGATGTTGATACATGGAAATCGAAAAAGGATCTTTACCTTCACTGGATTCTATTTTTGACCTTCTGTTCAATTAAACCAATTCCTTCAACAACATTTATGTTATATCCACCTCTTCTGCACCTACTTATCGTAACTTCTTAAAATATTCAGACAATTACACATAATTAGTCTATAGTTGTTGATTGTAATCCAATTCATTAATTGTTTTGCACAGAAAATTTGTATTCACATGATGACATATCGGTATTTTAAAGAGGGATTTGCAGGACATTTTGAAACCGTCATTAATTCAAAAAAGTTAAAATAACAATAATAATCTTGAACTAGCAAATACTATTGAATTTTATTTTCATCACTCTTAGGGGTTGTTTGTTTTTTCCCATTAAGCCTTGTGTATGTGATGTATATACATACGTAAGGCTTGTTTCTTTTCTATTTTGAATAAATCGTCTGAATGAGAGTAATGGACCACTTTACCCTTAAGGAAACAACCCCTTATTTGAGTTAATAGGCATGAAGAATATGATTATGATATGTAGAGAATGAGTAAAGACGCACCACCTTACATAATTTCTAACTTTCAAACTGAATCATTTCGTTAAGCCAACTGATCGGTGTGCCTGAGCTTAACAGCCACATCAGCTCTACATGAGTACAGATATGAGATTGAACAAATACAGAATCCTGTGTAGACAGACACATTTTAAATTTATTAAATTATTATTATTATTATAAATAATATTAAAGGAAGCAACAAAAAAAAGACCTTTGAGGTGCCCACACCACTTGCCAAATAAAGTGCTACCATTTATTTAGTTGCATTACACAGCTGTTGGACATCAGAAGATAGAGTTATCTGTGTTATTGTTACAATAAACAGATGAAAAGCACAAAGTAAGTGATGAATATATGAATTATGATTAGTATGCATAAATCAGATGTGTCAAAATGCTTGGTGCCATGAAGATCCACAATAAAGAACAATGTCTCATACTTATCCTGAAAGAAAAAAAAAAGTTATAAAAACATTTATAAATTAACGAAACTGGTACCTGTAGTGATATCCAATTTTTTGTTGCACTAAGATAATTCCCAAGGTGTATAGATTTACTCTTAAGGACATTTGGAAAGAAAATGTAAAAAAGGAATTCCTTATACAGGTGGAGGAAATCTCTGAAACAATAGGTTCTGGGGATGCAATAGCATCTTTGTCTGCTAACACCTCCAACAATTAGAATATGATTCTCTTGAGGCAAATGTAGTCTTCATTGAAGTGCTGCTATATGACCTGTTTAAATAAATCAGTTTATTGGATCATGTGGTGTGGGTAAGAGTTATTATGTTCCAAGGTCACCTTTATACTTTTTCAAATATCTTTCTCTCTCAAAGACAATAAATACATCAAACACGTAGTGGGCTCAAATAAGATGTAGCAGATGGTAGGTATACAACAAATGTATGTTTAAATAAATCAGTTTATTTGAAGTATAGTAAAAAGTATGACATTGTAAATGAAGGTATAATGCTATAAATGGTTAGATAATCAAACTGCAATGTTTTGTATAGTAAAAATGCAATACTTGGTTTTGGTTAGGCTTTTAAAATGCAATGTCTTTATAGCAAATGAAATTTACAGGAAAAAATAAGAGACTCTAACCAATATCAAACATGTTTAGATTTTCAAATTACAATGTCTTTTCAGGTTACAAGATTAAAATGCAAAGACAGAAAACAAAATAAAAAAAATAAAAAGTATAATGTTTTAATTGAGTAGATTTTGATAATATAGTGTTATACTTGGTTAAATTCTCAAAGTCAACATCTTAATCGAACTGCAGTTGCTTAATAGAAAAAAACTACTGAAAGCATAATGTTTCAATAGTTGATAACCAAAATCAAAAAAGTTCAGATTTTCAAACTATAGTGTCTCAATAGGTTAGATTGTCATAGTGAAACTCTTAAAATGAAAATAATCAAAAGTGCATCTTAATAGGTTAGATTTTGAGTATGTAAGATTGGTTCAATGCCCTAATAGAAGGAAAAAGTTAGTAAGTTTCAATGTATTAATAGCTTTAACTTTTGAAATGATGCTATAACAGGTTGAATTTCAGAGTATATTTTCCATGGCTTTTTCATTAATACCCTATCAGACATTTTGCATGTATATTAACTAATCAGCAAAGTTCTTTTTTGAAAAAAAAAAAAACATTTTAAAGTTTGGTTTGGTACCTTAGAGATTTAATTGTAAATGGGCATTTGGCTTTTTTTTTCCAGATTGCTAGACTGCTCCAGTTATCCTATCAGACAGCCAGAAAATCAGATGTGTTACATGATAAAAAAAAAAAAAAAAAAAAAAAAAAAAAAAAAACATAACTAATATTAGTATGGCAACTCTTTACAATCTTCATAAGTTTATATATAACATGGGACAGTTATCCCAAATTTTGAAGTTTCACAATGTTTTTGAAAGCCTTTGAGCTTCATTTCTACTTGAAAGCATGTTATCTTTGCCACTAAAACACAAATACATAAAATTAAAGTTGATGCATAAGTTTGTATTTAAAAAAGAAAAGTCCTAAATGAAACTAACCTTGCAAGCACTAGCACTTCAGCTTTAACATCATGGAGGCAGCAACATAAATATAATTAAGAAAGTTCATCTTCCATAAAGGTGATGTAAGAGCTGTTTCTTTTTTATTTAATATGTTAAGTAACTAAATCTGGCTTAATGTATTCGGACATCAATCATTTATCTGTTTGTTATTCTTCCTTTTTCCTCCAAATTCTTCTCACATTAGAATTGATGAATATTGCCAAAATTGTTTGTTGATTTGTAGGTATAAAATGCAATGTCTCAAAGGCAATAAAATGAAAATATAAGGCTCTAAGTTGTAATATATATATATATATATATATATATATATATATATATATATAACAAATTTTCATTTCAAACGAAAAATGCCCAAACAGAAGAAAAATTAAAAATATAAGGCCTTGTAAGTTAGATATTGAAAGTATTGCGCTATAAAAGAAAGTATAATGTTGGAAATGGTTAGATTTTGAATATAACCAGAACCAAACAAGATTAGATTTTCAAAAGTGCAATAATTTAATTGGAAAAAAAAATGCTATTTGTAACAAAATCAAACAATTCAATCCCCAAAGGATTCTGCTGTGGCTTTCCCCATACCAGTGATAATTTTTCAAAGTACCAAAAATAAATGTAAATGAATAATAATAAGTTTGTCTTAACGATTATATGAGAGCAAAGCCTAATTATTTTTGATAAAACAAAAGCAGCTTTTCTTAATTTGTTTTTCTGATAACATAAAAGCAGCTCGAGAGGGTATTTGGGAGGCATCATTTGCAAAAGATTTTGGAAGGAGCTTCAATGAAGACAAATAGCTGTCAGTAGTGGTAGCATTAATGTCATGTTTCAAATGAAGAAGCTAGTAGCAAGTTAACTCAAGTGTCACAATTTTTTGCTTAGTAAAATGAAGCACTCTGTTATGAACTGGTTTCTATGAACAGACAACCAATCAAATGATTCTAATATTGATTGAAAAACACTTAATAATATCAAATGATATCAACATGAAGATAGTTGAGCTGATTCGAGATAGCCAATCTCCTAATAAAGAATGAATACCAGATTTCACAAAGACACCTCCTCACTCTCCTTTTCCACTACCCTCTTATACTAACAAACTAATAATATGAAATGCCTAAAATGCCCCTTAAGCCCTTGAACTATAAGATTCTCTTTATTATGCTGACTTACTTACCCCTTTCTATAAAGTTAAATGTGGGTTAATGCATAACACATTCCTAGTTTATTATGGATGTACAAACAACAATCATATTATAGTTATCAAAAACAAAACAATATCAACTTTCTAGTCATGGAAGTTTATTTCCTTAAAAACACTAATTGAAAAACAGAAACACCATTTCTGTACTATGCACGAATCACATGTTTTATCTGATACAAAACACAAACTTAGAAAGAAGAGTATAATACACTTTTGGTCCCTGACCTGATTATACCTAATTTATGAATTATGAATTGAGATTCTTGTAACATTTCCCAAGTATATAGCTAATTTTTTCAGTTTTGATCCGAGCAATAGCATTATTGTCATTTTACTTGGAACAAGGATCAAAAACATTATAAACCTCAAAACGAGGACCAAAATCAGCTACACTCAGAGATCAAAATTGTAGATAAATCATTGAAATAATATTGTTACAGAATCATTGATCTTTGATAATGAAAATTATCTATTAAGTACTAATACTAAAACAAAAATATCTATTATATGATCCAGTAACAAAAATTGTCACCAGAAATCCGTACTTTCTTAACATATGATATATGTTGCTATTTCCTGAATTTATACTATAACAAACTAAAAACAGATATGTTAGGCAACCTCTTCAATCTGAATGAATGCCAAAAGTAATAATATCTTTGTCATGATAGGGTAACAATTATATGAATTATTTAATTTAGTACAAAAGTGGCTTTTCTTAATTTTTTTTTTGATAAGAATTACCTCGAGAGGGTGACAGGGTGAAGTATGCAGGCATCATTTTGAGAGACTTGTGGTTTTTGGAAGCCCAATTATTTCTCCTTTTTTTCATTTTGACGGTTTGACCTTGACCTTGACTTTGACTCTGAGACTTACCTGAATGGCTTAAAGATCTTGAGATGTAAAATTGCAATTGTGTCCCATTGAAATCAGTCTCAATCTGAGTCTAAGGATTATACATAGTTCAGACATCAATCATTTATCTATGTTTCATTCTTTTTTTTTTTACTCCAAACTCATCTCATGTTAAACTGATCAATGTCTCAAAGGCAATAAAATGAAAATATAACACTATAGGTTGTAATCAAAAAAAATATAGCAAATTTTCATTTCAAAGTAAAATGCCCAAAAAGAAGAAAAATTAAAAATATAAGGCCTTATAAGTTAGATATTGAAAGTATAGCGGTATAATAGAAAATATAATGCTGGAAATGGTTAGATTTTGAATATAGGAAAAATATGGAACCAAACAAGATTAGATTTTCAAAGTGCAATAACTTAATTGGAAAAATAAAAAATGCTATTTATTTGTAACAAAATCAAACAATTTACCTCTTGATGCTGCTGTGGCTTTCCTCCTACCATTGATAATTTATCAAACTGCCAAAAATAAATGTAAATGAATAATAATAAGTTTGTCATGATAGTATCAAATAAAGCCTAATTATTTGCTTTTCTTAATTTATTTTTTTGATTAAATAAAAGCAGCTCGAGAGGGTCAGAAGAGTTGGTGGGTCATATAAATCTCCTCCTTTCATTTTTGACCTTGACTTTTTGACCATGGCTTTGGCTTTGACTTTGACCATCAACAAGGCTGTCACATAAGAGTTGAGAAACCTTGTCACACAAGAGAACGGAAAGATCTTGGGCAGGGTCATGAGTTTTTTTGGCTCTGCCCGCTGCCCGAATAATTGTCTTCTAATTGTTATCAGAGGGAGAGCCTCTGAATGAAGATGAAGGTGTTCCATTTGCAAGAGATTTTGAAAGACAAAACTTCTTTGAAAGCTATTCATAGGAAAATACATCCGCGTCTTTCTGATGATCTGAAACAAAAAATGACTTATTATGAACACCAATATCTTTTAAACATATCAGATATGAGACGCAATTTGTTTAAGGAAATATATGAATTTTGTTGGGCTTACTTGAACATGGAAAAAGTGTTTACAGTTTGTCTTTGATTCGCATTGTAATATCAGAGCATCTGCATCTTCCACAACCTACAGATGAACTTTATGCAAATGAGAAATAGAGCATCAAACCAATTACCTAAAAGTACACACAACTTAGAAACATGTGCTGCATAACCACACACACCATTATGATACATCCACATCCACATCAATCGTCAACACATAACCATGCATTATAAAAAGTAGCTAATTAGAAAAAGAAACATCATCATAAACTTGACTAACAAAACTGGAAAGGGTCAAGGGAAAAGATTTAGAGAAATATTTCATCAAAAAAAAAAAATTCTTACATTGGCTTTGATTGATGACTACAAGCCACAATTTCCATTGTATATTTCCATTGCCACATCAAACCTACCTAGAAAAGCATACCACTTGTGTCCAAAGAGGGTAATAACGTAATTTCAACCAATTCAGCGAATTATGATCATGCATATGAATCCATGTTGTTCCTTTAAAAACAGAAAGAACGTTTCTGTACGCACAAATCACATGTTTTATCTGATACAAAAAGGCAGAAATTGTCAGAAGCACACAAATTTAAAAAAAGAGTAAAATACAACTTTTTTGGTCCCTGATTATAGCTAATTTATGAATTGGGGTCCTTATTTGAGGTTCTTGTAACATTTATGGTCACTGTTCCAAGTAAAGTGGCTATTTTTGGTCGCCAAATATAGCTGATTTTTGCAATTTTCGTCCCAAAACTATTGTCATTTTACTTTGGAACAAGGATCAAAAACGCTACAAACCTCAAAAAAGGACCAAATTTGAAAACTATATGATACAATCTCTGTGGATCAGTATATGCCTACTCTCCAACATCTTTATTTCCATGTCCTATTTCAATAAAAAATAAAAAATAAAATAAAAGGTTATTTGGAGGATAATTAAATTTAAGAAAAACTTCATGTTTTTCATAGGTTAGTTTACCGTTTCAAAAAATAATAATAATAAGACAATCAAAAAAATTACTTTGAATTCCATTTCTTAATTTTTTTTTTTAAAAAAATTACTTTAACTTGTATTATGTAATGTACATTGCTATTAAGAGTGAAAAATAGAGTATATTACCCACATTGGTCTCGAGAGTAGAATACAGTTCTAATCCCTATAAACTCTCCTTGATAAGGTTAAAACTACATCATCATTAAAAACAGCATGGGTGGCACTGTCTTTTGAAAGAAGATCAAAACACATTAGAGAGAAATTTAAATATGACTACTCATTAATCAACTTATCAACTAACCTGAATAAGCACCTTCTCACCATAGTTCTTCTTCACAGTAGCTTATTCCTAACAAATAAAAGCACTATATAATTCAATAATTTATAAATTTTGTAGAATTAGGGAGAAAAATAACAAACATAACAATCCCACTTGCCAATTCGCTCTCTTTTGCCTTGGACCAAAGAAACACACCACTTCATTCATTAATATAGTACATCGTATCAAACACTACTTACATCGTTAAAGGAATCATTAATTGACCTCAATATTTGGGATTTTTATAGACATGGAATGATGGAATAGGTTTATTGTAATGTAAAGGTTATAACTACCTCTAATGGGGAAAGCCTTGTCTCCTTGACTTTTTGCATAAATTCCTTCTTTTTGCTT